AGGTCGCGAGTTCGAGCCTCGGGTGTTCCACACTTCGAGGTTGGGTATGACTGGCTGAAGACGGCAAATAAGTCAGAAATGACCATTCCAGTCTCCCTTGTCTTTGTCGGTAATAGCATTGTGCATAAATATATATATATATAAGGGTGGAGGGGCGTTCACGGATCGTTCCTACGGAACTCACTCGTTCCGTTGTGTCTCACGGGCTCTCTTTTGAGTCCAACCAGCAGCTGCACATCGGCGCATGCTATATAACAGAATGGCATTGCCGAAAAAGACAAGGGAAAGTGGTCGTAATGCGACTAAATCGCCACAAGATAGTTATGTCCACTGTTTCTCCATGGCAGCTTGTCTTCGTCTACCGTCAATTCTTCCTCACTCCCTCACGTTCTCTGTCGCCTTCGGTTCCTGCCTTCTCGTCACTTTCTTTCCATACTCTGTTCTTTCAGCGGTAATGGAAGACTAAGGTCACCTGGAAATCTAAGACGTCCTTGAATTGCTGTTGTATAAGAACTGGAAGTCTTTTCAAACTAGATAAGGCTGCTTTTTGACAATATTGGACCAGACACAGTGGTCAAGTGCGCAATATTTTCATAGATCCTTCCAACGGACGGCATGTTTGGCTGCAAAATGATTCCATCCTAGGGCTGCCAGTGCATGTTCATCCCGACAATTTCAACCCAACTTCTGATTTGGCCGTGTATACGGAGATGTTTTCACTCGGATGCGGATATACTAAGCCCTCCTCCCTCCCTGAACAACAGCCGACTGCCCCTGGTCAAATAAAATCTTGTGGTGGGGATCGGCCGACTGCAGTTATTGGAGACCATGGCACCAGTCTGGAAAACGATGCCTTAAGTACTGGCGTCCCTGCTACTGACGCGGTTTTATCAATGATTTTAGTTCGGTTGCCCAGTTACACTGTTTTAACTGCTTTTCCTTTTCGTCCTTTTTTCAACCTTTTCACTTTTTCCTCAGTGCAAACGACTCAGTCTTTGGCATATCTGAAGATGGAGCGAAATCAGACGACGAAAGTCTCTCACTGAGTGTCGAGGACCTTTTCCAGTTGCACCAGCGTACCGAGTCGTCCTCAACTGAGGCCTCCAAGGAACATCAAAGTCGCCCTGCATCGGGACAATCTCTAGGAGCTAACAGGTCGGCAAGAGTGGTGTCGGCCCAGGATACTACTTCTGTCATTTCCTCACCCTCGAGGGGGACTGGTCGAAGTGAAACACCGGTGAGGGCGGCTGCTACCACCAAAGCACCTTCACCGGCACCAACAGCCCCGTCGGCAGCCACTACCCTCTCGTCCACATCCGCCATTGTAGGGCCCACCTTCAAGGGCGAGATCCTGCGCGGGCGCTGCCAGTTGATTTCAATTGTGCGGACCACGCCGGGCTGGTTCGTGGTGACCCGGACCGCTATTCACTTTCTACAGAATCACTCAGAGGCCGTTGTCTCAGACCTGGCACCTGAATCCGGTCTGTTCCCCTTTATGACAATCATTCTTTTCGCTGATACCCTCGTGGGTGGAATTTTACACTCTGGTAGCTCTAATTTGGCTGGTTTTGAGACAGCTACAACACCAGACGCGTCGGTGCTTTTCGACTTAAGGTAGGACACTTTTCACGGCCCATTGCTCCCCTCTTACCTATGTCTACTCACCGTGGCTTCCTTCGATGGCTTTCACGGCGTCCCTTTCCTTGCGTCGCCTCGGCAATTGCAAGATTACTCTTTCGGCGAATTCACCTTACGGACAGCATTAAAATTCGTCTGCTAACCACTCTTACTCACCGTGGCCTGGTGAGGGTTGGCTCTCGACACCTCAGAGTGGCAGTGGGCAGCAGTCTGCCCGCACTCTCGCGATTAACATGTCAGTGACTGACGGTGGTCAGATATGTCTACCGCGGACTTGCTGCTGGTGTGAAATGCGTCTCGAGCCTAAGCGCGTCTTGTCAACTGTCAGCGGATTAGCATGCAAGACCAACATAGGCAGCTCGTTGCTTAGCCCTTTATCCCAACAACGAGAGGAAAAGAACTTCTGGGCATGGTCTTGCTTTTTTCAATGCTATCGGCTTTTGCAATTTTCATGTATATGAATTTCACTATACATGTCCTTATTAATTAAACCAGGAAAGATCTTTGTGTTCGACTTTTCAGATACGCAGCAAAGTATAAGTTGTCCTTATTTGCGATGGCGCCCTAATCATTGCGGACTTGACTGATTCAGGTGATTTAAAACGCCTAGCTTCCTTACGGTTCACCATTCTGCTCTAATTCAGACAACTCTGCTTTCCTCTTCACTGGTCCGAAAAGTGACTGCAAAGATTATTAGGGTAGACGCAAGCACGTTAGAAGGACTTGAGCCATATTTGCACATGTCCTCAGAACTACTTTACCGTATCTTTTTTCCTTCCATCAAGGCTACAATCACCACTTTCAGTAGTACCTTTGTTGTTGGCCTCCAACCCAGTGAAATCTAATGCTGAAAGGGATATTGCCAGTGGCTGCCGCTAATTAGCTTTTAATTGAACTTCAATCCTGTAGGACGGCATCGATCTTTCGATGGCAATTCCGACTTTTCAATGGTTCTTAACCTGAGCGATTTACGGGAGATTCACCTCTGCCGGTATAATCTGCGTCGCTCCGCGTTGGAGATCGTCATGGTCGATCACTCCAATTACCTTTTCAACTTTAAACCACGTGTAAGTTGATGTCCCTGCCGCATACCCAATTTATGCCTCTACTCATCTTGTTAAGTAATATCCACATTCTCTCCCCCTCCCCAAAATTAAAGGTCCGCCAATCCTTCAGTCAATGTTTATGTGCCTCTTTCCTTTCCCTCCAAGGTCCGAAACCGAGTCTATGGCAACATAATGAGCCTGAACCTTCCGCAGCTGCTGTACCGCAAGGGTCGTAGTCCTGCTGAGGTGTTCAAGTACTCTGGCTTGAAGGAGGCAAGTCAGCACCTTCGTACCTCTTTCCTTGCGCAGTTTTCCAACAGTGCGAGGATTATTTTTTGTCCTCTGTGACCAGCCTCGACCTGATCCCCTCTCCCGATAACCGCCAGGTTCCACCAACAAGGTACGCTGAGGTGTGTGGAGATGAGCATGAACTCAGGGGCTGGCCTGGCCTGGCGTAAGGTTTCGTTTATGCTCGTCAAATACGCCGACCCCTCAACCCGCACTAATGGGGAGGCCTATTATAGAATGAGGCAGGAGAGGCTCGATGGCCATCCGGCCCCCGTAAACGCCCTGTCATTGCCCCTCCCCCTGGTTGCCGAGCAAAATTGTACGCACGCGCTCAAAGGGCGGTAAAACACGCATAGTCTCAAATTATTGGTCTTCCCCTCCCCGTGTCACAACCGCGACAGAGTGTTAGGTTGTAAAGACTATGGAAAAACGATCTCTGGAATAGTAGGTGTATTATTCTGAGCTTTCGGTATCGTAGATGAGGCCATCGTCAGAGGCTCTGAGAATGCGACACCAAATGAGCAGTTTTTTAGTCAAGCCATGACGGGGGGGTATGAGTGCAGAGGGTGGTATTCGCGGCAAGCCGAGTCCCACGCCGTCCCACGGGGGCGTGACTGCGTGCACCTTTGGTTGGAAGTGGGGTCTCGCCTCTTGGTCGAGGGAATGGAGCCCGTGATAGCAGGGGGTATGTCAACGTGTCTGTTGATAGAGTTGGTGTCAGACGCCCAGGCCTCCAACAGTTCTCGCCCTGTCTTATTGCTGGCCCGCGCTACTATCCGCGTGCTCGCGAAGTTGAATTCGTGGCCTTCCTCCAGGGTGTGAATGGCTATCTGAAACAAGGGGTCGCCTCTCCGGACCGCGCGTTTATGCTCCGTTATTCTTGAGCTAAGTCGTCGTTCGGTCTGTCCTGTGTAGTGGCGAGGGCAGTCCCGACATGTGATCTGATAAGAACTGCTCATTTGGTGCCGCATTCTCACAGTCTCTGACGATGGCCTCCTGTACAAGACCGAAAGCTCAGACTAATACACCTACTATTCCAGCGATCGTTTGTTCATCATCTTCATACCACGAACCTGGGATTCGCATATGCGTCTCCATCCGTGAAAGTTGTAGGTGTATACGGTGAAAACAGAAAAGTGTGATCGCTATTGGTTGTGAATTTACTTTATATCAGATTCAGCACATTGGCGTCTTCCCACCGCTTTAACAACCTGGCAATTATTCTTTCCCAGGCGTCTCCAATCTTTTCCGTCATTTTCCCTTATCTTCGGTCCAGGCATCTGCGAGAAAACCTGACCACTGAGCCTCATGCTCAAACCTATATGCTTCCTATTCAGTCTGCAGCCATTTATGCTCCTTTCGCCGAAATTTATAGAACCATAGTAAACGCGGGGCTGACAGCCGAACCAGCAGCAGAGTCACCCTGACCTCCCTGCCGCCCGCCCGTCGCGTCTAAATTGGCCTCTGTCTCTAGGTTTACAATCTGAGAGTAGTTAAGTCTTTTTGGCTAAAAAATTGGACAAGGAGGAAGGGGCCAGAGTTAATTATAACTGACACTTAGTATTTGAGCTTCTGGGAGATAAATGCGGCACCAGCGACCGAGGTATATGGAGTATATATGAACAAGAAGTCACGAAATTTTACGACGTCATTAAATTTCGCATGTTTCGTCGCCGTTGCCTTGTTAAGATCTATTCAGGGAAAAAGGTGCTTTGAAAATGTGAATGTTCATTGGAGTCGCGCCAAAAATGCAATTTTTGATCAAGAAGGGAATGTGTGAGGTCTGCGTCCTGCGGAGATAGAGCAGAACTGTTTGCATGCAGAAGCTCGTGCTTATTACCTCGAACAATGACCACTCCAGCAGTCTGACACCATCTTCTGCAAGTCTGGGTATAAACAGCCCCACATGCATGGAGCGTATTGTATCTCACATAAACCATAACTGACGCAAAGACAAATAACGGACTGTTTGTCGACAGTATGTTGGTTTCGAAATAGTTCTGCCATACCTTTGTTGGATTATTTTTGTTGCCCAAATACACACCTTCCGTAGCTTGTTAGCAGCCACAAAATTCAATCCCAAGATCCATCCTTATCGGGATTGCGAGCTTTAGTTTTCGTAATTTTGCCTCTAGAGCTTAAGCGGAACTCGTATCCGCCTACTTTACGGGATCTGGCATAGCAACTTCTGCGTATAACCAACTTCAATACGCAGTACGCTCCGAAGCTCGGTCGTAGTCTTTTAATCCACTTCTAAGTGAGGCTGCACAACTGATTTACGTGGAACGTTAGCCCAAGTCGCTTCAGACACGACAGGATTTGGGCTTTCTGAATGGTTGATTTATAGCTGCAACGTCGGGAGGGGAACGTTGGAGAAGAACAGAGCAATCTGCTGTGATCCTAGATTCCACGGCAAAAACCAGGTGCTGGGAACAGTTGACGTCCTACCAACGCCCACTAGTTCTCACGAAAGGGCTTTAATCACCTCACCTCTCTGTCTAATCGGTACTTTTACCCCATATTTCTCCATCATGAGCGGCGGACGGCCATGACTGCTCCGGATAGGGCACAGTGGCCACTACGTATGAAATTGTGACAAATCGCACTTACGCTGTACCTGCGTGACTTCGCCCTCCTCACGTCTACCATGTTCCCAGTACAAAGCGAGGTCAAGACCACAGGAGGTGAATATGGGCGAAATGACTGACGAAAGTGAATAGTTTATATGCGCGCTCCGCACACAACCTTTCCCTGACCGCACACCTTCCAGACTTCAATCGGGGGATCTCGAGCCTCATAATTGGAAGGGTGCTATAAAGGCCACACTAAGAAGGTTCCATTCCAATCGCCTCATTGTAAAGGAAGACAGAGCTTTCCTGGCAGATGGCAGCCCTTCAAGTCACCACTGCTGCTATTACCAGTGATGATGGTGATGATAGCGTTGTTGTTAATTGTGATGAGATTGCTTCGCCTCGGAACCTGAAGGGATTTAGGAGGATGTTACGCCTCCATTAGCTTCTCACGTCCGTGCTAGACAAGTGCCAACCATTGCTTCACTGTAACGTCCCAAGACGCATGTGCAGGCATGTGCCCTGCCAAATGACCCTTTCTTCCTTACTGACAGTTACTTCGTTCTGTCTAATCTCTGGGTTGCATACCAGTGGAGAAAAATGTCAGAGGGAGGAGCATTTGGCAGCGTGGAGCGAACATAAACAATTTACGCCCATTTTTCCTCTATTCACATTCCCATTCCTCTATCCTGGGTGGTGTTTCGTCCTTTCCTCCCCCATTCTTCCTTCATCACCACCCCCTCCCATCAACGTGACAGACTACAATAAATGTTAATTCGGTTGTGAGAAGTGACCTTCGTGCGCCGTGGCTTGGGAGGTTTTCTGGTTGGGGGCATCAATTACGAGCAAGTTGCTTTTTAGGGTGTGTCTACGCGTGCGTTTGCGCAGTCGAGCAATTATAAACTCGAGAAAGCTATATCTCCCACCTTCCAACTTCGCGTTGGCCCTTCAGACGTACTCCCTGATCACCTGCCTGCCTCACACCACTCCTACCGTTTTTAATTTTTTTCCTTCATTGTTCCTTCCAGCGATGGGCAAATCGGGAGATCTCGAACTTCGAATACCTCATGCGTTTGAACACAATCGCTGGTCGGACTTATAGTGACCTCAGTCAGTACCCCGTGGTGAGATTCCAATGCTGCAATCTTCTCAATTCACTTCGTTTTACGTAAAAATGCCTTGCGTTTTAGGCAACCGTTTAAATATGTCGTGTGCAAATCGCGTAATCATGTACTTTTATGAATTTAATTTCCGAAGCTGTTGAGTAGACAATAGTGTGGTGCTTCCAGTTCATCCCTCCTACCTACAGAAAATGTTACATGTGCACAACCCAGCGAACAAGTCAAGGTTAACTAATGGAGGGACCGCAATTTCTAATTTTTTCATTGTGACTTCGACAAGGATGCCAGATTTAGATGACCGCACAGGAGCTCTTTTCAGTTGTTGGTACTGTTCGTGGGCGAATGAAAAGTTCGGATACGCAGATAACCGTTCTTTTTTTAAATATTCGTTCCACCTGCTCCTTGAAAACTCAGAATTTCCTAAGCTTATAATGAGCATCAGTTATGAACGCTCCTAGCATTCCTTAACCATAAGGCGACGCAATGTAATACAACAGGCGGATTTCGGTTTGGTTTCGCTCGAACAGGAATTATGACTAGATCGCAGTTGATAGCCAGGAATGGGAAAACGGACGGCGACCTTAACCCTTCATCCTAAACTTAACCCTAACCCCTACCTTTAACGTTAACCGTTAACCCTAACGGCAACCCTAATCCTAACCGAAATCATAAACGTAACCGTAGCCCTTAGACATAACCGTAACTGGAAAACCTAACCGTAATACTGAAACCTAACCGTACGCCCTAATCCCAACCTCAAACGTAAAACAGAAGCAAAATGGGTCCGATGTGATAATGGAGCCGCACAAAATAGCCCCGGTAAACAAACCCCCCAGCCACCTGCAATACGAGGCCTGGCTACCAACTGCGATCTAGCCGGAATTTATATTTTTTTCTCAAAAAGAAGTTGACAAAAACTCATTTTAGTGGATGTTCTCGCCCGGCGCACATCAGTTCACTTCGAAGAAACGCATGCGGTAGTCATTCTGCACTATGAGCACAATCGCCCTTTTTTGACAATCGGAGTGTTGTCCTGGTGCTGATTTGATCTGCGTGGAGCAGGAGCTGTCTCCCCAGTTATGTTGCTGAGGGCGTACACTGATAACCCTTGGCAACCTTGACGGTTTAGAAACCTTGGGCAACCATTTAGTTCCGTCGAGATGCAAGACACTCTCTCTGGTTTCAAACAAGTCCATTCAACCATCAGAAGGATCTAACCTTCTCGATTATGCTTATTTCTATCTTTTGGTTATTTCTGTCTCACATGGCACTGCTGACTTGCACTCTACGATGAGATACTTGGTGTGCCGTGTTTTTGCCGGATTGATGTGTCTTATCACAGTTCATACCGCGGGCCGCTAAGAACCGAGGCACTACCAACCTAACCACTTTCGCCAACTTATGCTTAGGGCATTGCTTATGTAGACTGGCATCCGTCTACTCGGGATTATGCACTTATCTCAGCGCATTCGGTATGAATTTCTAGTTATCCGGGTAGCCCATCTTTATGCCTTCCGGCGGTGACACTACCTATCTAGGTTGTCTTACCATGTCTAATAACTGGCTCTATTTGACGAAACTAGCATATGGTCCCATACGGCTTCAGACACCAAGCAGAACTCCGACCATCTCCTGTGTGTATTCTGACAAAGCCATCTTAAGTGTTCTAGGAGAGTCACAAACGTTTTTCTGATAAGGATTAGATTGTATTTGACATTTTCCTAAAAACAACAGCAATCATTTACTGCCTCTCGCTCTCAGTGTGAGTCGTTCTTCTGTCTGTCCGAATTCCTCATTGGGCCTTAACCGTCATGGTTGGCGGAATTTGAACCTTCACGACTGGGAGTTAAGTCCTCAGCCAATCATGATTTCTTGACCGAGAAACACTCCCACCTTTCCCTATCCCCTGTGTGCTCTGTGGTAGTCCTGGATAACAAATATGAAGCGACGTTCCCTACGTCCTAATTCTGTATTCAAACTCTTTTTACACCACCAAGTTCCCTTGGATTTTGGCCGACTACACGTCTAAACGTCTGGATCTGGATGACGAGTGCACATTCCGCGATCTATCCCGGCCCATCGGTCTAGTGAACCCCGACAATATACCCATTGTTCGCGAAAAGTGAGTCCTCCTATCTATGAAAGCTGTTCTGCATTGTTCGGAAGTCGGCTTTCGCTAGGCTGTGTTGAGGTTGGGGTATGTAGCCCAGCTGTGTCTGCGTTTTTCTTGCTTGTATTTGGAACTAAGGGCTCTTTTTGTACCTACTGGTGTCCTAAAGACGCCATGCTCATCCAGCCCGACACTGGTCGGTGGCACACGGTAAATGCCCATATTGCCTAATGACTGTACATAAGTGCAGCCGTGCCTTAATGGAGAATCAGGAGCTCCGCCTGTAGCCCTCGGACACACGCCTACATCGCGTCATCCTTGCTTTAAATTGCTTCTCCGGTGATCAAGACGCATGAGCAGTTTCCGAGAAACAGACGGTCAACTTTGGATTAGCCCATCTATGCGGAGGGAAATGCATAGATCATAGACCCGACTGTTATTCGCCGGACATTGTGATAACTTTGCTTGCCATAGTTTACAGGTGAAATGAGGACATACGTTAGAGCCAGTTCATGAGGGGGGTACTAACAATTATGTTTTTGTCCGTAGTTTCTACCCGAAGTGATTAAACTTCTATCTCTTGACATATGATGACTTCAGGTACGGTCATGTCGTATGAACACTAATCACTTTCCCAGTAGAGATATTTCTGTTATTACTGATGTGTCCCCGAGTAGGAACTACCTTAATCCCTTTTCGGTCTGACACCGGGAGTAATTCAAAAACGCATGAAGCTTCTTTGTTCCAGCCTTTATTATCCAGACGTCGCATTGTGACAAGACATTCTCCTCAATAGAATTTGCCGCTAAATTGGCGGAACTTGTTTACACAATGGTGTACGATTTGCCCGCCATAATAAAGTTTCCATCGAGGCCTTTAGCGATTATTGTGACTGTTTTGATTGTAATCCTTCTCTGCAAATGACGGTGGTCTCCTATATGTGGCTTGAATAAAGTAGTATTTAGAAAATAAACCGGCGGCAATGGAGCATCTACGTACTATAAGCTCATTATTCCATGTATCCCCCCTGGCTTTCGATTTCGGCCTATATTCTGTGAACTTAGGTCATGCGGTCCTGATGTAGTTCCACGAATTTGGCATGAAGAGCCTCAAGACGCGGGTGCTGGAACTTACAAGCCTTACTTTGAACATCAGTTAAAAGCGAATAGTTCGGGCTTTTAAGATGTGGGAGTTGGGTTGCACCTCTCTTCTGTCTTGAAGCTTGTTCTACGGCAACTACTTTCGGACCATCTCGGTTGTAGTTTTTTTCGATGCAGGAAAGGACGTAAGTCTGTAGGAGCTTGTTCAGATTTTCTCCTGCTCCCATCCGATGCCCTTATTCTACGCACCTGGGGCCGCGTAGCCTAGCGTCTACAATGCCGATGGCCGGTTGACTGTGTGGGTGTTTATGCCTTCCGGGGACTTCATCTACAATAAAGTCGATGTTGTGTCTATCTGTTCTGCTGTTGCAGACATTATAGACGATGCAAGCCCTCTTGTTCGTCAATGGTATTTTTCGACCTATCTTACTTCTTCCCATCAACGTTTTAGTTTGGACTGAGGACTGGATCCTACTCCCCTTCTTATTCCCTTCCTCCTTCCTCACCCTCTTCTTCTTCCTCCTCCTCTTCCTCTATCCCCCCTTCTTCCTTTTCTTCATCCCCTTCTTCCTTATCTTCTTCTTCCTCTTTTTCTTAACGCCTATGTTTTGAGCCGTATTATCGCTAACCTTGAGTTTCTTGGTCACCGCCCCCCCATATCCCAGGCTGGTCACCTCTACAGCCTAATCTTGATACAGCCTCATCTTGACGGGCTGGGCGCTTGTGACTCTTAGCTTTCTTCCTGATCCTGGGTTTCATTTTACATGTTCTGGTTCTTCCCACCTTATTTCGGCACTGACAATTGTTGACCGGGTACTTCCAACTGTGTCTGGATGTCTGCAGCTGGCAAACTGGCAGGGGGTTCGGCTCTGATCTCCTCTCCCCTGGCTTCCATAGCGAAGAGCGTCTTCTACTCATTCTTCTCTTCCAGTAATTATTTCCCCTCAGCGTCAGTTTTTACCTAAAGATGCTCAGAAAGATTGCATGGCAATTATCAAACCTGTGTTAACATGAACTGAAGTCTAGGTATTTGGATGACATGCTGTGATAGCAGCCGCTGCCGTTTATGATCACGAGCATAAGGCATTAGGAAGTCTACCCGGCCCTGGATAAACCTGGTTGAACGTGACCCGCAGAATATCAGGCCCGTGAAATGGCGTGGTGGGGAAAAGCTTCCTTTCAATTCGTGGACTCAAAGGTGAATGTCTTCACCGACCAGTCCGTGGCACCATTTTAGGATTTCAAGACTATGCCCTGCAGAGGGTGGAACCCTGTTTAATCCCGACAATATTCGTTGCGTTGTAGAGAGGCTTTGATTTAGGGTCTCTTCAAAGTTACCAATTCTTCAGGCCAATATCCAGTCACGCCTGGAGGTGCTGCCGTCACATGGTGCGGAATCGCTTACTCGTTTCATCCCGGGAGGACCTGCTTATACCACAGCCAGCTCTCGCTGAAGGGTCTTCTATTGTGCGCCATTTGCGGACGCGGGCTGTAGCTTCGGGTGTAGCATGCCTCTGTTCTGTAGTAGAGCACATTTCACCCCAACTAATTGGACCACAAGTTGTGTCAACTGTTTTTTTTTCAGCTTGCCTGTTGAAGAGTCGAATCAAGTCGCCATTCCGTTCAATTGGGCCGATAATTGTCTCAAGCAGGACTTCATGAAGACGAAACTGAAAGGGTCATCCGCACTTTGGGGTAGACGGCGAGATTTCCTGCCGTCTGTTACTTCAGTCAAGTGGTCTGTCTGGACTATGCTTGCTCCAAGGCGCGCTTATCGTTCAGCCGCGAGAGCTCACGAAAGTGGGATGTGTTCTGTGACGCAACCACTGAGACAGAAAAGCAAGGTTAGATTGTATCACGACGGGCGCTTGACAGGTCGAAGGAACGGGAAAATAGCCTTGGCGTCGATTCATAATTTGGTCCTTTCTGACTACCTCAAATATGTCTCTTAACTCTTTTTACGCACTTCAGATAACAGGCCCAGTCTCTTGATCGAGCTCGAGAGAGACTAAGTCTCGTTGCCGCATGCACTATCTACGTACAATCTCTGGGTTTTGTGACCTGAACAGTTACGAGTGGAAGATGAAGATGCGATCACTGGGATAAGAAGTTTATTTGCCTGACGTTTCGGATTCTCACTCGAACCCATCATCAGAGACATTCGCAGATAGAGGTGAAGGTGGCACCAGGAGTGCAGTATTTATAGCACGTGGCTGCCGTGGGACCGTATGCGCACTGCAATTAACAGTTCTCACAATCGCCGCTGAACTGCTACCTGGGACTCGCCTGTTCGCTTCTATCAGCAATTACGAGTGGTTTTAGAAGGTCGAGACGGTTATTTCCCTAGAGCTAGTCGGTTGTTGTAAACAGCCTTTCTTAGTGGGGTTTTTTAATATAAAACCTGGGTAAGCCCACTATCTACTTGCTTAGGTACAACCATTTGATCGCATTTGCCAAGGGCTCTGTTTTGAATGCATGAACTCCCAATGCTGGCCTCCCTTCACTAAGGGATTATTGGTAGCATTGTACCGTTTTTATACTTCGATCCGCTCTCTGCACTAGTCAGATCCGTTCTAAATCGAAGCCCATGTGCATGCTGTAGAAGTAAATCTATTTTTCCGGAGGATTCACCCGATGGGCAGGACTGCAGCACCTTAGAGCTCCATTTGCCGATCGACGTACCAAAAACAAATGAATCGTTTGTTGCTTAAGCACACCTTTTGGGCTCATTTCTCTTATCACCTTTTTTCTGCTTTCACTCGCACTCCCACTCGTCCCCAGGTATGAGTCCTTTGAGGATCCCAGT